GAAAATATTTGTCTTGGAATTATCCCACATCAGAGAAATTTTGATTCAAAAGATGGAAGAACAAAAGGATTGAGTAGATGACGTCATCTACTCCAACATTTTTTGCCCAAATTATTAAGGATTTGCATGAATATTTTCTTGAAATCTGTTCCTTCATGATTATTACACCCATATGGATAGGTCTATTTGATTTCCAAGTCTTTTCTAATGTTTCGCAATTTTCGTCCAAGTAGCCCTTTAACAATTAGTACAATTTATAATTATAGATCAGGTGAATATTATCTAAGAATGTATTTTGATAATGTATAGACTAAGTAGAGTTCTTAATAGAAAGAAAAATGATTTTTACATAACATCCCACATGGATGAAAAGTCGTTCATTTTCTTGTATATATTGTATGCGCGCCCGAATGAGTATCGGGATTGCGAGACGTTTCCGCGGGGACAAAAGGGTAGTGAGGGAGGGGTGGTTTGGGTAAGTCGTAAAAACTTGTGAGGGTAGGGCTAGGCAGGATTAGTTATGACGTCATCACAGATAATGACGTAATTACACAGGGAGTCCATCCATCACGGAAAATTATGAATGTATCCGATAAATAACGAAAATATACCGGAGTAAACGCGAGCCAATCACGGAGTTATCCCGAATTAAAGCAACACACACTTACAAGGCGATAGCATAGTGGCTTGAGCCTCGTTCCGAGGCACTAGCCACAAAAATTGTTCACTTGAGGTATTGCATTTTACTGAATAAAGTGTGTTTGAGGTTATCGTAAAACATTGAAGATAAAATGTAAACGAAATCAATAGATAAACCTCAAAACCCACAGAGAACAGCCTTACCCAAGAAGAAAGAAGAGAAAACGAGGTGTATCATATAGTCAAAACTTAGAAACTTTAATAGTTTGAAATTATGAAATTATGGAAGCCTTTCATGATTAACTATGGATGGAAAGCTCATTACAAAAAATTGTGAAAGTTTAATTTCGATAATTTAGCCATTCTCTTTACTTTTGAGATAAGTATGTTTCTAATATGACTTTTAATTTTCTTTTGAATTATTTGATAGCATGACACATTTTGTTATAATTTTTTCCTATATCTTTTTTTTATCATATATAGTAATAATCTTACATTGCTGTCGCAGTTGAGATAAATTTAACCATATGCGCCCAATCGATGGAAACTTGCTAATCTTCTTTAATTTTTATTTATTTTTTTATTTTTTTTGGAATTGCTCGCATCATATCTTTTTTAATAAGCGTAAAGATATAAGAAAATTAAAATAATTTGCAGCAACTTACAGAAAAATAATATCATTATAATTTGGACTTTAAATTGATTGAGATTTTGTTTTCGCTTATTTTGTCTCGGAGTCTTCAAGCAAATAAGATTCCGTCTTTTCATCTCTCTATGCTAACATYATACTTTACCTCAACACAAACTACCAGAGTTTGAAAGAGTTCTTTTGCAGCCATTTTCAAAGTCAATRTTACTGGAAAACGACGAGTATTTTCTCTTTACAATKRTTAGAGCTGAATACAATTATTTTAACTTTCGTTATTGATTGACACATCGAGTACGTTGAAGTGACCTGTAGTAGGTCATCAAAATTTAAAGCTTGCAAACAGCTGTAATAAATATTTAAAAAAAGTATTTTCTAGCGATATGTAATGAATACAAGCGTTGTTACAAGGTGGATACTCTTGATAATAGGAGCGGGATGTAAATATAATTTAAGTTAAATCAGTTAGTGTGAACCATCTCTAAAACACAAGTACGTAAAGTTTAAATATGGAAATATAGGTCAGTGGTAATATAATTATAAAGATGATGTAATAAAACGTGACATAGCAGCATAACCAATAAAGCTTGTTTGGCTCCAATCCAATGCCTTTTGAAAACAAGGAACATCAAATTTTCCYACTATGTGAACTATGAGAAATATGAATACAGKGATAAGGAAGACAGGGGTTRCTGACGGAGAAGAACATGTGAARATRCTATTKTATTAAAAAACAACAAATAAACAAAATGATAATACTGCATAATTTATGTGTTTTTGGTTTGAACATAAGTCTTATAAATAACTGTTTAAACAATATTGTGCTGAAGCATGTCATTTCTGAGTCCTTAAATCACCTGTATCACTCCAATAACATGGGAAAGCTAGTTTGTTTTGTTTTTGTAGTGTTGTCATTTTCTTGTGAAGTTAGTTGTAGCTTTATAACAATTTAGTTCGAAGTGTCTAGACGTCAGGAAACCGATTTTTTTTTTGGAAAAATTGTCAGACAACCCACATTTAATTAACTGAACAGGAGAAATGGATCGAAGATTGTATATGTTGTAGTACAAACTTTGTTTTGGCACAATTTATTTTGGAACCAGATAGGAATGCGAAAGAGACGGAAAAATCTCTTTAATTATTTTAGTAGCCCCTCCCCCCCAAAAGATCCAAGCCCCTGTTTTATCATTGAGTCATCAAAATAAATTCCCTTTTAGAATGCCAGATTACACCAGTTCAAGTCAAATTGAACTGGATCAAAAGAAATGATATTGGTACAAATTATATTGTACCAAAAGATAGATTGTACTACAACATGTACACAAGCTCGAATTTTTAATTGCATGACGTTTAAGAGACTAAAAACTGAAAACTTATCACCAAAAATAAACTTATTGAATAATATCATTGTATATTTATCTATTAAGAATACTTAACTCGTTTTGATGTTCGGTATCAATTGTGTAAATTCTCGCGCGCTGATTGGAGGGAGGCTCGAGCAGTAATGCAGCTGAAGTAGACTCCCCTGGGGTACACCACAGCTCAACTTGTGATAAAACTTCTGCCAGCAGTGGAAGAATTAAAGACCAAAGTACTATTTGACAGTATTGAAGTTGCTGAAGCATTAATATATGGTGTTGTAGATGGTGCAACGTAGCTAGTTTCATTCATGCCAGTAAAGCTGGATTCAAAACCTGATAGGACTGGACACGTTTTCTTTAATGCCATAGCGATTGAAATAAGTATTCTATACATGAGGTAGTTTGCCCCAAGGTCTTCTCTATTAACAATAGTTTACAGGACTGCATATTACATGGGCGCGCAGAGATACGGATTTTATATTCTTGTTTATTCTCGAKTGAGCGAATCTATTTATACTATTCTATTTACTATATAAACTCAAATGAATAGCTATTTTCATAGCTATTTTTATAGCAATTTTGTACGTAGTATCCATGGTAACAACTATTTGTTTTATATGTGAAAGACATCACTTTTTCCTGCTACAGTTTTTCAAGTACCTCACTGAAGTTTATATGATAAACGGATTTTATCATTGGTAGTAAATAGATCAACGCTCGAAGATGAAATCCTAATCTCCAAGTGCCCTTGCAAAGTTCTGGCTATCATATACTTTTATTTGAAGGGAAATTATATTTAGATAAGTTTTTGTCTCCGCTAAAAAAATAGAGATATTACAAATGTGCTTATTTTCACCCCTGACAATAGTTTTTCGAAAGTGAAAAATGTGTGTTTTTATAGATAATTATTTGATAAATAGGTAAAATGAAATTATCAAAGATGAGAACATAACAATTTGATGTTTTCTTTAGCTGAATCGATTATCTTTGTTTTGTTTTGTTTTTAATCTCTTTTAACTTTTTCCCTTTATTTTCACAATGAAATAGTAGGTCGATGCAGATCTTGATCTGATGTTTGTCAGTGCGCATGCACACAAGCATACAAATTAAGTTATTTATAAAATCACTTCATAATGAATACATTTAGAATCTTCTCGAAGATGACCCTCAGACTTTGTGGCGTTGTTAAGCTGGCACTTTCCGCTCYCTTCGTTGATATAGTTAACAGACTTGCATCTGCTCCCAGCATTCAAGCAATAGCCGACACAGGTTGACGTGTCTTTGACGTCTTCATCGGTATAAAACACGTGGTTAATTAAGCATCTCTCATTGGTTGACATAAAAATAATGTCAGCAAAAGTCTTTTGGGCTAAATGAAAATATATCAGGTATTAGAGTACTTCAACATACAAGAACTGAGTCAATCGGTGCACATGCAAGGGCGGCAATAAATTGAGTCACAACTTACAAGCTTTAGTTATGGAGGACATCAAATTTTGTTTGCTGCGCGGAATGGATCCCAAAGTACTATTTAATGTGTTTTAACAAAATTACGTCGTATCAATAATTTGTGAAACGGTTATATCTTACTTACAATAAAAGTATTGTATGTAGATTTGTTGTATACAATACAATAATAACGATGAATATAATATATGAATGTGCCCCTCATAAAATGCAATAATGCATCTTCAATTTGACCAAAGAAAAAAAAATAAAAAGAAACAAAACAAAACTACAACCAAACCAAACCAAACCAGTGTAATGTTGCTTATCATCTCCATTCAAATAGTGCATTCTGGTTAATAAAATAAGTAGGCTAACCTGTTTCTGTGCAAAATCGGCCTTCAACCGGAAAGTCATGAAACTTGRACACGTAATRTCCATAACACTGCCTCACAAGCACATTGACTTTGAAGGCACAACAATCAGAGTCTTTACGATAGCACAATTCCATTGTTTTGATCCCATCTTCCCGCGAAGGATATTGACCGTTAAGCCATCCTGGAGTCTTGGTCCCACAGGAACTTGACGTCGGACAGGATGAAAGAATCCTTTTCGAAGTAAGTCTACACCATTTGGTGAAATCAATGGTAGTTTTGTCTGGAGGATGAACACCTTCCCTCTTGCTCAGTTGTCGATCAGGAACATCAATTGATGTGTAATTCATGCATGGYTTAAAGATATCTGAAAGTCAGAATTAGGCTTAAGGTATGGAAAGCAAGTATTTAATGAAGTAATTAGTAATTTGTTCGATACAATCACTTGAAGTGCAAGTGTAAACGCACAAGTATTCTTCCATCGATTGCTGCGCCAAAATCGCAGTATAGTTTTTAGTGATTTTAAAATGAAAATAAAATCATGAAACCATATACCTAATGAAAAATCAATATAATGATAGTTTTGATATTTTAMTTTTTTATAATTATATTTCTCTTACCAAGAACGTCACGACAATAGTGTTGAATGTACTTTACTTGGGCGTCTGTCAGTACAACGCTATAAATCTGAAGACACGATAACCGTCCAGAGAAAGCTTTATAAGATGGATGTCCATACTTCGTACCACCAATTCGAATCTGCAGATTTTTGGRAGAAATGAAATTACCATACTTAGGCATTTCCTGAGCAGAGGAGTAATGATTTATAGCAACAGCCACTATATGATTATCTATGAAATACTTATATATCAAAAATTGTTAATTTCACTAGTGAGCGCTAAAAGCATTCAGCGAGAAAATGTGATCTTCGAGACACATTTTTATTAAGTGGAAATGTTTTTAGGAAAGATTATATTTTAGTCCAAAATAATGTATCCCGACTGTGCAGTTAACGTCATTTAWATTAAGAATATGTGAAATCTGACGTGGAAAAATTAAAGTTTCTTATATGCGGGGTTTCACTTTATCATGTCGACTATTAGTTGCTATAAATCAACTGGAACAGTTGTATTCGGGTATTGCTTTGTTTGAAATCGATTTCCCAAGTGTGCAGAATTCAATGTATTGTTACAGTCTGTTTCAGTTGAGTGATAGCAACTAACAATCATTAAATAAGAACCATTATTATATAGCTTGGAACACACGATTTCATTGGTTAAAAAGCGGGCCATACTTTCCCGTACGGACCAGATGAAACGAGAAAAAACGTGTTTTTTATCTTAAAAAGGCCCGCTTCTCTCTTTTTGTTGTTGTACTGTATAAAAATAGAGTAAAAAGTGAATCCAAATTTTGCCATCAAGGTTTCTCAGGCTTTTATTTTTTCCTTGTATTTTGAAGTCAGTGGAAAAAAACTCGGTCCATAAATTCCCGTAMGGCCCTCGCGCTCGGTTAATAAGATATTATTAAGTGGTAAATATTTAGATTTTACATTATTTCATGGACATAGTGTAAGCAATCTAGTGAGTAAAGTAAAATACTAAATTAATTAACTCCTTTAGGATGGATAGGTTACCTAGATTTTATATTGAAATGGAAATTTAAGGATGGCAGATCCTGAAGTTAATTAGGTCGCTATACGCAGAGTTTCGAATTCTTATTGTTACCAGGTATAATATACAACTAATTGACCACAAATTTGTCGTAAAGATATTCTTTAGAACATTTTTACTTTTTTTGTAAAAAAGACGAAGAATGATAGATCACTCACCAGGAAATCTTTTTTTCTCATTTTTAACGTGTTCTAATTCCAATTTCACTAGAGTACAAAGGTTACATTTCTCCATGACATCAGTTTTTGCGAATGTAGGTGCTAAATAAAGGTAAGCAAAGATAAGTTTTGAAAAGATAGTATACCTTGAAGTTTGTATTCAGCTCGTGTTTCGGGGACACTTTCTCCTTTTTAAGAGTTCCGTTGATGTAAATTCTCACTTTTCCACCGGTGTAGTCGTACGTAAATCCAACAAATGTCCAGGCATTTTTAGCAATAGTATCTTCTATTCTAACAGGGTCGTTTGYGTTATCTCGAGTAACCAAACTGACATAGAATAAGGATGGTGAATGGATCATGACGTGAAGACCGGTCCACTCGTTTAGATCAGCTTCATAATTTAATATTGGACCATACGTGCCTTGGCTATAGATCCAAGTGAAAAATGACATATTGTACCTGAAAGAATAACCAAAMATATATGTCAACAACAATGCTAATAGACGAAAGTTTTGGCTTTCAGACGGATTATTTGTAACTTCATTAAAAACATGTATAATTTTGTCGTGAATTTTGTATGTTTATATTTTTTATATAACAAGTATGTGAAAAGTAAAATGGTGTGTATAATGTATCACCTTGTGTCTGTCTTGGATTGTTTTGGAATTTCGACATAGCCTGATGGCTTTCCTGGAAAATTGTATGCCCCGTCTGGCTGGCCATCTGGTCCAGTAGTCAGAGATACATCACCTGCTGTGGTAGGCTGAGGATTCTTACTTATGTCTCTTGTACCAAATTGTTTGTTCAAAGGAAGAAGTACCACCGGCCCAGGAACAGCTTGAAAAAAACAAAGTGTTTTTACACTATAAGACACGTATTTCTACAGAAACATTTAGAAAATTTGCAATATCCATAACAATGTCTAATATCTAGTCATATAGGTTTATGAAACTCACATACTCAGGCAGACGAACTTCGTAGTCGAGTTTGTGTTGGGGCAGAGAAATGAAAAAATTGGAGCACACTTTCCCTGTCTGCATAAATTGTATCATGACATACCTTTGTCAGTCGCAGTAGACAGGAGAATCTAAAAAAAATCGCCAAGCCGTTAAATCTYATTATATTATAGCTATCATAGTACGCGCTCTCTGACTGGTCAAATGTTWTTGGTTATTTCACAGACAAACACACGGATGCGAAAATGCTATAATATAAAAGCAATAAATTAAGCACATTTAATACATAAATTAAACACATACGTTCCTGGTAAAATAAACAACTTGRGATATTGGAAAAACAACGAAAAGGCCTTAAAATCTCTCGCCTCCGGCTCGAGATTTTTTACGCCTTTTCCGTGTTGTTCTCGACCAAACATCCCGCGTGGTTTATTTCATCAGGAACGCACGCAAAATGTGTTGTTTATTGCTTAAATTTGAAACAATAAAAAACTATTTTACCCTTTAGGAAAGTACACTAGAAAATTACGACATCGAATATTTCAAATCACATCCATCCATAAATAATGAAAGACTCTGACCTATCATTTCATTATTTTCAGGTTTTATGAGCTGCAAATTAAGTTTCTAAGTTTTGACTATATGTTATACTAGCTAATCGTTTTTCTTCTTTCTTGGCTAAGTTTGCCCGAYCTCTGTGGATTTTGATGTTTGCCTATTCGTTTATATACTAGTATATTGTCTTCAATTTTGCTTGATAACGATGAACACACTTAGAACAATCTTACCAAAGAAGGAAGAAAAAAAAGATATTGAGCTATAGTATATAATCAAAACATATAAATATAATATATAATAATCGTATGAGTAAGTAGCTGATCCCATTAAAGAGTGCTCAATACACATAAAGTGTAGAGCTAGTTATATATATGATAAATACTGTCTAACGAGTGCGTAGCACGAAACTCGGAGTTACAGCAAAATCTTGCCTCTTTGATATCATATATATAATATATAATATGATATAATCGAAATTGTTTCATTATTTATGGATGGAAAGCTCATTTTCATACTCATTGATTTTTCATGAGGTATCCAGCCAATCCCTGATTGTTATTTGTACCACGTGCAGTAACTGGATACCAGAGGAAGTTAATTTTACCTTGTATCCAGTTACTTATAAATTGTTTCCAGTTGCTTCTACCTTATTTCCAGTTATAGAATTCATGAACAATTTATAACCTTATTGGCCTACGTGGTTGTTCATATCGAATTTCCAGGGGTCCTTTTAAATCTCATGCAAGCTAAGTTTGTTTAACCCCATTACCAGACTGAGGTAAAATACTAATAACTTTTGAACCAAGAAAACTACCACTCTGATATTTTCGGACTTTTCCTAAAATCTATCTTGGCAAATTTTGATGTAAATGTTATGTTGCTATCGTCATCCATGTTAACATGGCAACCGGGTTTTGACATATGGGTATTAAAAAAAGTAAAATATGTTTAATTTTTCATTTTCAAGGTTATTTCCTGTTTTAATATGCATTTTTACCCATATATGTATATTTCAGCTTGTCCCCATTGCTGACTCTACAATATACCTGTGATAATACGTGATAATAGTGATAATAGTAATACTGATAATAGTAATACTGATAATACTGATAATAGTGTTTAGATGCTAAAGATGGCGGTCGGATGCATTTTCAGGCTCTCGACAAATTTGTGCCTGTTTCTTTGTATATATGTGGTTTTTAATAACGAAAAGCCTCCTTATGTAAGCGGGAGCACTCTTATAAACGACAGAGACATTTATTTTATATCGCAGACAAGTTGCAAGGCTGAAATTGCAAGTACTTCATTCCAACAGACCGATTGGAGCTTTCGAGAAAGGAATTGTTGTATGTAAAATTCTACAACATGTTTCATTTGCGCTAGCTATCATTGCTCTATCGGGAGATGTTGAACTTAATCCTGGGTACAAAAGCTTGACCGATGTTAGGAAAGCTCGGGGACTTGCCCATTTAAACATTCGAAGCCTAAGAAATAAAACGGACTCTTTACGCCTGGAAGGTCTGGACTACAAGACTGWCGATGTGCTATCACTAAGCGAAACTTGGCTCGACCAATCTTTTGAAGATGCTGAAKTTGAACTTCCTGGTTTCACTTGTATTCGTCTGGACAGGTCAGGCATTAAAGAAGGWTACGGTGGCGTTGCAATTTATATACGAGAGGGTTTGCCTTTTCGCGTCAGGCAAGATCTACACTCAGCCGATCATGAATGTTTGTGGATTGAAATTAATCGAGAAAAGTGCCGGCCAACCGTCATATGCTGTGCTTATAGGGCTCCTGATATTGACTTTGCAAATTTTATTTCAAATCTTAATAATCGTATGGAGAGTATTGACTTGGATAAATGCGATTTCTTTTTGCTCGGAGACCTAAATGCAAATATGTTACCACATTCCAAGAACAAAAGGGAAAAACAAGAGCTTTTGAATTTGGCGCTAATGCTGGACTTAAAACAACTCATTACAGAGGCTACAAGAGTCACGCAAACCTCTAGAACCTTGCTAGATGTGATTCTAGTAAACAATGAACATCGCATAACTGACTCTGGTGTTGTCCCTGTTCCGCTTAGTGACCATTATCTTGTTTATTGTATCCTCAAAACTGGA